CCCCCCCCCCCCCCCCATCCCCCGGCCCCCGGGCCCGCCCGCTTGGTGGCCACACAGTCGGCCCACTCATTGCCGGGGTCATCGGCACGGACAAGTTCGCCTACGACGTGTGGGGCGACACGGTCAATGTGGCCTCACGTATGGAGTCCACCAGCCACGAGGGCCGGGTGCAGGTCACCCGCGCGGTCATCGAGGCCGCGCCTAGCATGTTCAACTTCGAGCTGCGCGGCAACATCCAACTCAAGGGCAAGGGCCGCATGCGGACATACTTCCTGCGGGATGTCATCGCCGACCGCAAGCAGTATTGGGTGCGTGACCAGCTGGCCGGAGCCACGATGGGCCCCCGGCCGCGGCTTCTCCTCCAACCCTTGGCGGGCGGTGGCACTCCCAGGGGGCAGCATGGCAAAGCATCTCCCGCCTTCCCCTCGCCCTTGCATTTGCCGGACACACCCACTAACTCCAAGGGGGGCGGGAAACCCAGCTCACCGACATGCCGGCCCTCAGCCACTCGCTGTCGGCCCCGACCGACCTCTTTGGCGAGGAGGCCGCCAGGCCGCCGGCCGGGGCCGACCTCTCGACCCCGCGCTTCACCACGGTCCCCTACACGGGGTGGCGGTCGCGGTACACCGCCCCCCCGGGCCGCGAGGCCCAGGCCAAGGTGGAGCCGGCTTCGCGCGACCAGCCGCCCGACCGGGACCCGGAGGTGCCGCCCTACCACGGGGCCAGCCCGCTGGAGGGCCGCCGCTTGCAACCGAACATCCCGCCCGGGACCGGCGTCAACCCCGGGACCCCCCTGCTGGAGGTCTTCCCCCTGGCGGACACGCGCAAAGATGCCGTTCTGCTGAATGCCCAAACTATACCCCCGGGCCAGGCCACCGGCACTCTGCCGCCCAAGCGCATGTATTACCCCCGTGCCCTGGGGCTGGAGGGGGTGCAATTCCGCGACGGCGGCGCGGCGTCCATCGCCCTGCGCGCGTGGGCCACCCAGCCGCTGCTGGCCATGGTCACCCTGCAGGAGACCTTGGAGAAGATCGAGAAGTGCGGACCATGAGACCAGCCGGCCAAGCCGCCGGGCGGCATCTTCCCCCGGGGACGCAAAGAGGGCGGGGCCCTCCTTTGGTGGCATCGTCCGTGCGCGCGCGCGCGCGGCCCTCACCCCCATTCGCCCACACACACGCACACACGCACACACGCACACACACACACACACACACACACACACACACACACGCACACACACACAGACAGACAGACAGACAGACAGACAGACCCCCATCAATGTACATGTATCCCTTGTCTTTGTGCGCCGGAGTAGGAGCTGTCCGACAGAGACAGGCCACGAGGCAGGGAGTGCGACGCAGGCGGATGCCCAGTGAGGACGCACGGTGGGAGGGGTTTTCTATTTTTTGGACTCGCGAAAAGGACGCAGGAAGGACAGAGGAGGGAAGGGCCGAGGAGGACGGCGGCCGACGGAGGGCAAAGAGGATGGAAAACACGTCGCCCCCATTACCCAGGGAGGGAGAAAGAGAGGGAGAATTACTGGGACGTCCGGGGGCCGATCTTCCGCTGGCGCGCCTCCTCCGCACGAGCCATATCCAGCTTGCGCTTCTCGCGGTACATGCCAACCACACGGTCGCGCTCGTCCATGAGGATCCGCCGCTGGGCGGTGGACATGTCGCGCAGGCGCTTGCCGGTCTTGATGCCGAGCTCGGCGGCCGCGGCGCCCGACTTGTGGCCCTTGCCCTCGGTGGTGGCGGTGCCGGCCTCGGCGCCGGCCGCCTTGACAGCGACCCGCATGGCCGGGGTCTTGGGAATGGCGGCTCCCGAGCGGAAGGCCTGCGCCAACTTCAGAGACTCGGTGGACACACGGGTGCGCTTGGCCCCGGCGGCCGGGCCATCGCCCATGGCCGCGGCCAGGGCCGCGGCATTGCCCTGCCATTTTCCGGAGCGGAGTAGCGAAGGAATGGGGAGACAGCGGGAGAGAGAGAGAGACAGAGAGACAGAGAGAGAGAGAGAGAGAGAGAGAGAGAGAGAGAGAGAGAGACAGAGAGAGAGAGAGAGAGACAGAGAGAGAGAGAGAGAGAGAGACAGAGAGAGAGAGAGAGAGACAGAGAGAGAGAGAGAGAGACAGAGAGAGACAGAGAGAGACAGAGAGAGACGAAGGGAGGTGATTGTGTGAGTGGCGGCCGGGAGGCATGGCAAAGGCGCAGGAGGACCCAGCGCGCCTTGGCCAAGGGGAGATCAGGGAAAAGGGGGGGCACGCACTCGCATCTTCGGCACCGATGTCAGGTGCGGCACCGTGTCCACCACCTCGCCGAAGCCCGGGGCATCGGGCGCGTGGTTCTTCGACGGCCGGTCGAAGCCATAGTACTCGGCCTTGGCGTCGATCAGGCGCGCGCGGTCGGCCGCCGCCGACCGGATCGCCGCCTCCTCCTCCTTGGTCAGGCGCTTCGACTCGTCGGTCACGGTGGGGATGGGATTGTAATTGCCGAGGACCCGGTCGTCGTCGCTGATCGGGGCCTTGGCCTCGCGCTTGCGGTTGCGCCGATCACGCAGGTACTCCGTGCGCTTGGAGGACACCGAGCGCGTGGCCCGCATGGCCTCATTCAGGCGCTCCTGGAAGGACTGCGGCTCGGTGGCCGGCTTCTTGGCCGCCGGGGCGGGCTTCTCGGCCGCCGCGCCCGCCGTGGCCGCCGCGCCCGCCGCGCCCGCCGCGCCCGCCTTGCCGGCGGCCTTGGGCGCCTTCTTGCCGTTTTGCTTCTCCTCGAAACGCTTGTTGTGCTGCATCAGATAGGTGAAGGACCGCGGCGCGCGATCGGTGAACTTCTTCGGCGCATTGTTGAACTGGGCCTCCCGCTTCTCCCTGGTGGTCGGAGCCCCGGGGGAAAGGGGGGTTTGACGGGGGGGAGACGGTCAGTCGGCTGGCCCATGGGGCAGCCACATGGGGAGGGGGCACAGACGGTCGAGCCACGGCCTGGGAGAAGCAGCCCCCATGCGGCCACCGAGGGGGCGGGGGAGGGAGGGGGCGGCAGGAGGAGGAACGTACATCATCGCCAGCTGAGTGGGCTTCAGCTTGGCGTACGGATCGACGGACTTGAACTTCTTGGTCGGACGGTACCCCATGGTTGTGCTGGGTGGGTGCGTGCGAGCGGGTGCGCGCGGGCGTGCGAAGGGACGTGTGTTTGCGCTTAGCAGGAGCCGGCAAGGGGCGTGGAAAGCGACAGGGCAAGCGGACAGGGGGGGGGGGGGGGGGGGGGG